AAGATTTCCTTTTTGGAGTTTATAAGTTTTTTGAATATTTTCAAGCTGTGGGTAGTTAAATCCGTGGATAAAGAATCTGTGGATATGGAGAGCTGACTGTAGTTAAAGCCAATTAGAAATATTAAGTTATAAGGAAAGAGGTAGATGGCAGGATGAAGGCAAAAAGGAAGACGCTGCGGAACCTCTAGCTAGCACTGGAAATCTTTGTACCTCTTTCTTTAGTGATGCATAAAATCTCACATGCATGCACAGACCTATGTGGACACAGAAGCACATGGGGAACATATCCGAAATGAAGTGCTAATCAGTGACTGAGCCACATCTTTGTGTTATTATAAGTAACAGCTTGTGTAAAGAAAACCACCAATCAAGACCAAAGCCTAACACAAAGCTGGTGTTAGGGATTGTGAATTCAGTGATGGAAAATCTGGAAAGCAGGATAATAAAGAAGAAACAAAACCACATTTTTGGCTCACCTTGAATTTATTTCTGGTTAAAGAATAAGGCGATGAAATGAAATGACAGCAGCATGATAAAAGCCCATGTGATCTTAGGATAAGATGGAGAACAAAAGGCAGAGTTAAAACAACAACAACACACAATTAAATCATCAGGACCAAGATCCACACATCCGGCACTACAAAGGTTTAGTCTTTTAAAATAAAATGTCTGCAAATAATACAAATTGTGAGGAAGTGGGACACATTTGTGCAAGCTTGCCTTTTTACTGTAAGATGCTAGAAACAAGGCATTCAAAACAGATTAGGAGTAACTTCTGATCTGGAATTAGCCACAGGTGAAATACACATTTTGCATCCACTCACTTGACAAGTCCAAAGCCTGCTTGTGAAGTTAATGACAAGAAGCTTTTTGTTAATACAGAGGAAGTAGTTCTCATCAGAGAACTGGAAAGGCAGACATCAAAACAATTTCCCTAGGACTAAAGGGTGGGGACAGTTTTGAAATAGGAATTTTGCAGTTCATGCCCTAGTTCTCTCCTGCCTTCATCAGGGGTGCTGAACAGAGAAGGCAAGTCCAGGCAGTTAAATCAGGACAATGTTATTACCAGAGCCCAGAATTCGTCTGGTCCAGCGAAGGCGGTGGCTCCAGAAAGCCAGTCCTATGCCACAATAAAGTGATTTGTTGCTGAGAAAGTGAGTCAGCTTGCAATACTTGCTAGCCCTTCAGCTTTGGCAAAATAACAAAGCTCCTGGAAAGATTTTCTTATTCTTTCATGTATGCGTCCAAACTTTCTGTGCTATTTGTGTAGCTATCTGACAGAAGTGGTGCATACCTGCCAATGTTTCACAGATGAAAACCGGGGCACATGTGGCCAAGAAATATCCAAGGGTGGTCAAGATGGTGAAGTTATTAATGAGGAAGAACACGTGAGCTAGGAGAGCATTTGCTTTTGCCAGATTCTACTGGAAAGAGCAAAAACTCCCCAATCCCCTCCTTCCTCCCTCCCAGTTAGTTGAGAGCATTGCAAACCCCCTCTGAAGAAACTTGCTAAGAAATCTCCATGATACTCTTAGGGCCACTGTACGTTGGAAACAACTTTAAGGCACACAACAACAACATCAAACTACATTTGCTCTTTGAATTCACTTTGCACCAATGGACGTTAATGGAAGATTCACTGGAACCATTCATGCCCAGCTGGGACAGTTGGAGGATATGCATCCAGTGTGATGTAGTGGTTTGGGCATTGGACTATGACTCTGGAAACCAGGGTTCAAATATCAGATTGGCCATGAAACCCACTGGGTGACCTTGGCCAAATCATACACTCTCAGCTTCAGAGGAAGGGTATAGCAAACCCCTTCTGAACAAATATTTCCAAGAAAATCTTTTGACAGGTTTACTTTAGGGTTGCCGTACATCAGAAATGACTTGAAGGCACACAACAACAAAATCTTTCTCCCTGCCTAATACTTTTCAATCTTCTCTTTCTGGTGCTTTTCTGCTGAGTTCTTGAAAATGTTTGAAGGAAAAGAAGATTTCTTTCTCTCCTTTCCTCATTTGCTCAGCAATTATCTAATAATGGAGATGGGAGGGTGATCAAAGAAAGGACTGAGGTTTGAGGAGTTGGGTAGGGAAGCCCTGTAGTCCCCAACCCAGTATAAACAGTGCTTTCATTTTGTGCCTAGGATTGTGTGTTATAGCAGTTGGTCATGTTTTAGACAGGATAGACCAAATATCTGAAAACATCCACAACTACAGATAAGGTATTGGGTAATGTGTGAAGTGGTGTTATAACTGAGGCCTAAATCTGTTTGTCTCAAGAATAAACCCACTCAATCAATAAAGAGTAAAACCACTGGCCTTTTTTTGGTATAAATCCCATTGATTCAGTGGGTTTACTCTAGTAATTGGATTCGTGTTAAAACGTTGAAGTGACAGACAAATTAACAACAACATGAGAACAGCAATTGATATATTGGAGAACTATGGAAAAAAATCCTGATAAAAAACTAGCAATGATAGCTGTAGACGCAGAGAAAGCTTTTGATTCAGTGGATTGGAGATTTATGTTCACAGTTTTGGAAAAGATGGATCTGGGAGTCAAATTCATAGAAGGAATACATACAATTTACAAAAAACAAAAGGCACAATTAATAGTTAATGGGGAGAAATCCAAAACAATTACCAGCAGTAAGGGCATGAGACAAGGCTGCCCACTATCACCACTTTTATTTATTACTGTGATGGAGATATTGAACAATAGCATCAGGAATAACCCATCAATTAAAGGCCCAAGAATTAAAGGACATTC